AACCGGCATATATGAGAATTAGTTTTGTGTTGTTATAATCAAAATTTTTATTCTTTTTTGTTAGCCGATTTCTTTTATTTTAAGAAAATTTTTCGTTGGCATAAGATTCGTACCAAAGTATTCAATAAATAGTTACTGTTATATTCTAGTAATACTAATTAAATTAATAATATTAAGTGAGATCAAAGCCAAGTAATCAAATATTAAGAGTATTGCGAGCTCCCCTTTGCGTTATGCTTAACCTTCTTAGTAGTTGATTGGTGACTATGTAGTGCCTGTTTATACGACAGTAGTTGTACGAGTACTTTGTGGAAGGTTACAGAACTGTTAAGTGTTTTTAGGAAAATATATTTAATCAAGTTATAATCGGTCTGGGTCATCCATCTTACGAATCCGTAAGCACGTAACAATTTGATTCGGAAAGGGTGGTGAAGTTGATGACAAGAGCTGTGGATGAGCAATTAAGACAGCTGGTGACAGACCTTCTGCAATCTGTAAAAAGATAAAAGAAGCCATCAAGTCTGTTAAAGAAGAGATGAAAGCAGGCCAAGAAAAGATGTAAGGGGCCATACAGTCAGTCCACAAAAAGATTGAAAGAAGTCGAGAGGAAAAAGAGAAGTTACTGCTATAATAGAAAACAAATTTGAGGCTATCGAAGGCAGAGCGAATGCAGTTGAAAATAAATTTGGAGAAATTGAAGAGAGTTTCAAGAAATCGAAGGAAGAGTTTCTGCTTTCAACCAACAAAATCGGAAAAATTTCAATTGTACAACAACAAATCGGTGAGAGAGTTTCTGCTGCAGAACAAAAAATTGAAGCAAGAATTTCTGCTTTCAAATAGCAAATCGAAGAAGAGTTTTTGCTGTCAAACAACAAATCGAAGAAAGAGTTTCTGCTGTCGAACAACAAATTGATCACAGAGTTTCGGCTGCTATCGCCAAGGAAGTTGACAGCTTAAAGAAATCCATAATTACAGCAGGAAAATATCTGACGCTTTTAAATTCCTAGCCATGTCTTCTCATCCCACTCTAAACCCATCCACATATGACGGAAAGACCTCTCTCAAGTATACAATACTCAGTTTTCTGTAGTGGTGGACGCCGATGTATGGGATTCCCTAATGCTTGCCAACTAGTCAGGTATCCGCTTCTCTGAGAGCAGACGCAGCAGTTATCATCTAAGCTGTGCCCGAAAACCAGAGACTAGATTTCGATGATGTATTCGGCGCGTTGGAGCTGCGCTTTGGTGAGAAGTGTTTAAAAGACTGTAGCAGGCTTCAATAAAAATCTCGCCAACAGAAGCCCATGAAAACACTCCAGGAGCTCGCTGCGGATGTTGAAAGAATGTCTCATCTTCTTTTTTCGAACCGCCCATCAGAAACAAGGGAAATCCGGTTCCTGCAGCAATCCATCGATGGCATCCGGGATCCAAAGATACAAAAAACCCTTCGAATGGCAGATGTCAACTATTTTAAAAGCGTCTTAGCATACTGCATGAAATTCGAGGCAGTACATACAGCAAGTAAGCCGTACAGACCGCCACCTAACCATAGCTGCTCATATCCAGTAGCAAGTGAATTGACTGACTGCTCATGTAGACGATTTAACCAGGCAAATTAATGCCTTGAGGCGGAACAGAAGTGGCAGAAAACCGACCGTAAAATGCTGGAACTGCGGTGATGAGGGCCACGTGCAAAGGAACTGCATAACTACCCAAGGCACGGAATCTAAGACCGATCACTACCAGGGAGGCAGGAAATTAATGGCCATTTCACAGAACGAAGGTTGCCAGTGCTTCAGGTTTCCGCAGTGAGGGCAGCAGTAATGGACATCGTGGGACATATCAATGGAGTTCTTGCAATATGACCGTCGATACAGAAGCTAGTGTTACTATCATCCGAATAAACTTGGCTCAACAACTGGAAGTTATCTAAACTCTGCCCCGCGTTACACTCCAGACTGTGTTTGGTGATAAAATCGAGATCGACGGAAAGTTCAATGTTAACTTCACGTTGAAAGTTCCGCTTCATATCACATGGCATATGTGGCAAATATTACAGACCCTTGCATACTCCGATTGGACTTTCTATTGAATTACAGTTTTTAGTTAAAAAATAACTAACTGCATTCTGCCTCTGAGGACATAACCTTGTTCGGAATTAAAGATGAAAAATTTAAATCTATCCATCAAATCATAGCTCAAGATCATATCACTGTACCAGCAAGAAAAGAATTTTTCTTTCCTGGATCCAGAGCTGAAAAACGAAATTTGGAGTACGGCATAATGAAATATATTAAGAACTGTAACTGTAAGAACCCGAAAGAGTACTTGTAGTTTCGGCACTCGTAGACTTAGCGAAGACCCTCATCCCGGTGAGAGTTGCTAATGCAAGTGATAAGACAAAAGTCTTTAAGAAAGGCGACATTTTTGCACCATGTGCTCCAGTAATCTGCGTTTAACGAACCAATAATCTTTCAGTCCCCCGTATCTTCGGAGAGCCTAACATCGGATTTGCTGCAGAATGCACATCTAAGCAAGGAAGAGAGAAGAGTGCTGCCAAACGTGCAATTCAAGAATTTCAAGATTTTTCTCTCGCTCATTTTCGGACATGGATCGAACCAATTTGGCTCAACATAGAATTAATACGGGAGATAATCCAGCAATCAAGCAAACATGTGACGAGCTTTCCGTCATCAAAAAGGATCGTCACACGGAAAGCCGACGCCCTGCCTAGAAGACCCTTCCCAGAAAGCTGTCGATATTGTTCAAGGGCTGAAAATGTTCTGTAGAAATTCTACTGTATAATATTTTATAGAAATTTATAGAAGAGTTTTCTATAAAAATTTTGTAAGGCCTTTATATAAACATATTTTATTCGTTAAGTGAGAATCATTTTTAATGGAATTTTTCCTCTTTCTTCTCTTAACGTTCTGTAGGTTCTAAATTTATATAACTTTCCGTTATTTTTTCTTCAGTACTACATAATACAAAAATTAAATCGCGTAAAAAACCAATCAAAACCATAAAATTATCTTAAAGGTTAAATTTATGCCGTTAATTATGAAATTTAATTCCTGAAGTATGGTGATGATGATTAAAATAAAATTTCATAACCATAACACTGTTAATACAGCATCTGTTAAGACATATGCTGTAAGGTTATCTTCCTTTAATTTCGCTTTGTACAGAATCCCTTACAAGCTAATAAGATTTAGGATGAAGACTAAGTTTTGCAAAATCAGATGTATTGTATCAAATATAATGCATTGTATTTCAAGTTAGGCAATTTAATTTTTGTAACTAGGAATTTAATGTACTGTTAAAATGATGCTCTTTCATTTAACCTCGTAAATGTTTTCATACGCGCAACTTCTTTGAATTGCACGTTTGTGAAAATGCACTCATGTCCATAAATTAAGAATAATTCGGAGTCACGCAGAAATTCGAACTCTTAAATAAATATATTACCTGTAAAATCACTAGACACATCTTCAAGAATCATATGCAAACTTCAGGAAGTACCCAGATGACACCGATGGTACGTCACAATGACGAGAGTGCAAGAGAGTAATATATAAGGAATACAGGTAAAAAAGTAAAATTGTTCGCAACGCTTTATAAGCATTTCAGTACAATAACAGAATAGTTATGACACAAAGGATGCATTTGGATGATTTTTTACGTGGTAGAATTATCGGCCGTTTGGAATGTGGGCGTACCCAACTGGAAGTATCAGACAAACATGGAATTGCCCAGAGTGTCATCTCCAGGCTTTAGCAACGATTTCAAGATGATGGTAATGTGAGTAGACGTTACAGCACAGGTCGCCCCAAAGTTACAACACCGAATGAGGACCGGTATTTGGCAGTTACTGCCAAAAAAAAAATAAAATAAAATAAAAAGCAGGCGGACACAGCCTCAGACCTGTCTCGTCAGCTCTGTTCAGCCACTGGTACGACAATTTCCAGGCAGACTGTGTACAGACGCTTAGGGCAGATTGGTCTATATGCTCGTAGACCTGTCAGATGCGTTCCACTTACTGCACTCACTGTCGCCTGCGGTTAGCCTGGAGTAGAGAGCATGCATTGTGGACACCGCAACAGTGGGCTTGTGTGATGTTTTCCGACGAGTCCAGGTTTAGCTTGCAGTCTGATTCTCGCCGGACTTTCATATGGAGAGCTCCAGGTACCCGTTACCACCAAGAAAACATCATTGAACGACACCGTTACGGTGGTGCAGGAGTGCTCGTTTGGGGTGGAATTATTCTGGGTTCCAGAACTGACCTGCATGTTCAAATTGGAACCATGACAAGCCAAATCTATCGGACGTCATTCTGGAACAACATGTACGTTTGTTTCGGGGCGCCATGGGCGCACAATTTGTGTTTATGGATGACAACGCCCGTCCTCACCGTGCAAACATCGTAAGCGAATGCCTTCAATCGGAGGATATCACCCGTATGGACTGGCCAGCATTCTCACCGGACTTGAATCCAGTAGAGCACGTGGGACATGCTTGGCCGACGAGTTGCAGCCCGTCAACCTCCTCCTACATGTCTACCGGAACTTCGGAGAGCATTGCTTTTTGAGTGGTGTAATATCCCCCAAGATCAGATCGATAATTTGATACTCAGCATGCCTAGGCGTTGTACGGACTGTATTGCATCGTCTGGGAGACATACAATGTATTAACATCAATACCAACCATGTAATATTGGTTTTTTGTAAATAGTTTTTTTTTTTTTTTTTTTTTTTTTTTTTTTTTTTTTTTGTAATTTGCTCCAGGGAGAAAAAATCGCTAATTTTTTTAATAATATCAAACATATAGCATCTTTTTTTTGCTCTTTACCTTTTGTTTAATAAATAAGCTTTACAAATAAGTCAAATTTGTTTTGCTTCTAACTCTTCCTTTGCCTGCTTTTGCATTATCCTTAATTTATGGACATGAGTGTATTTACCAGTTTGTGAAATGTTATAATCATTTTTCTTCTTTTTCACTCAGAGCCATTTTCCGCTGGATCACGGTGAAGAATTTAAACACCATGACATTCGATGATAATGTGAATGCAGACACTCCTATGGGAATCCTACGTGGAATAAAGCACGGAACTGAGAGTTACCATGTCCTCTTCAAGAGATTGTGCAGGTAATGACCATAGTAACGAATCAATTACCAAACTGGAAACATTCTGTATATTTGAATAACATGAAGTTTAAAATTACGAAGAATTCAGTCTTGCAAGAAAAGTCATTATACATAAGATTTGGACAGTAAAAAAAAAAAAAAAAAAAAAAAAAAAAAAAGAGGGCCTAAGGAAATATGATTAATCATTACATCCTTTTCTGAAAGCACTGATAGATTATTAGTTTTTAGGAGCTATTAATTATATAGTCCATTGCCTCAAATGATAAGTCTTCCATAGTCGTATCCCTTAAATGATAAGTAGTAGCAGTATTAGCCCCCATAACAAAAAAACAAAAGCCCCGTTCACATGCAACGCTCCTTCGCACAGCTGCCGTTAGCAAGGGGAGAAAAAGGAGACATGAAAGAGTTCGTCTTTAGGACCGTTCAGAAGACCACCGTCTTCCTTCCCCTTTACACCTAAAGCCTCTGTGAACAATCATGTCTCCGATTTGGCGATTCTAATACTGTTACACATTTTAACGTGTTTTACTGTTGTTAATTGTAATCTGACTTTCGCAACTGGTACCTGGAACTTTCGTAATGGTTCCTGAAAAATATATGCTTTAATTATATTATATTATTTTATAAGCTGTTATTTAGTTCACTCTTGGTGCTTGTCGCTATGGTTAAGAGGGTAATGGATTTTTAAACTGCTTCCCGATAAGATATAGAACTCAAACTTTGTACATACACTGCTTGTGGATGTGGGTCACCTTTGATTTTTAGAGGATAGATTTTTTTTTTCAAATTTAAGTGAACGACTTTTTGCAAATATTAACAGATAAACTGAGAATCTCAGAATATTATGTTTGCCATAACACACTGCGAAAGAAAAAAGAAATTAAATGAAATTTAGCGTAATTTTAAAAAAAAATTTAGGAGAATTTTGTACTTTTTGAAAGATATGCAATGAGCAGAATGGAAAATATTATTCTTCTTGGCATCATTCGAATAATCGGTTTAAAAGTAATAATCTCATTATACCACACTATTTTTATGACATTATTTACGCTATATAAGTTGTTATTGTTACCAGTTGTTAGTTCAGCGTGAGAATTGGAGATATTTCTGAGTTAACTTTCTCTTAAGATGCGTTTTGCATTCCGTTGTGTTTAACGTTCTTTAGATTGAAGCATAACTACTGATTATACTTAGTGATATGCTAAACACTGTACGAGTATTTCTGTGGGAAAATTCCAGAACTTTGAAGTGTTTATGTTGATAAAATAAACTTAATTAAGCTATCATCGGATTTGAGTGCAATGACAATCTTTACGAACTATTATCAATCTATTACAAACCCATACGCAAGCAGCAATATTATAAGTAATTAATGTATTAAAATTGTTTTGAACGTGTTTTACAAAACAAAAAAACAGGTAAAGAAAAATTCTGCTTGCGTTTTATTAGTTTTTGCAATTTTTCTGGCCACATAAGGTTTTAAAAAAGGATTGTAATTTATGTTTATATTTACCAATTGAATAAATAGCACTAGGTTGATTTATATACATATGTTTATATTGAAATTCAGTATTAAAATTTTAAATATTTGAAATGATTAAATGTCTATTTAGACAGTTTGAATTCTTTAAACTGCAATGCAAACTGAGAAAACTTTTGCACTTTTTCAATAAATCCTTTTACTCCTAAAACATATACACGTATGGATTTAATTTTTTATTATTTTACTGCTTATATAGAATTATATACTTTATAGAAACAAGGATGGATTTTGCAAAATACTTTCGGAAAAAATTATTTGAAATGAAAAATGTGACTGAGATCATATTTGTTTTAAAGATTTTAGATTAAAGTGTATTTTTTTTCCTCAGAAACTAATTCATTAATTGCAAAATCATTCCTGAAGTTATTACGAACACTCTAATAAATACAATAAAAAACTGGGGGGAAGACATTGAAAATTGTAGGAGAAGAAAGACATTTTAATTGTAAAATTTTTCTTCAAAAATTTAAATTAAAAAAATGCTAGCAAAAACTTTTTTTCAGCTTAAAATTATTTTGTCTCACAAAACCATTTAATAATATTCATAATTATTAAATGGATGATTCATAATTATTAAGTAGATGAAAATGCTTAAATTTTAAAAAAAATCATTCAAAAGGTACCGAGTCCCTTTTTGCGTTGAAGCCGATATGCACTTGTTTTAACTTTAGTTTTAATTTGAACGATATTTCTGGATTACCTAGCATCAGATAACCTTGTCTGTATTTGCCTATAATTTCCGTATCTTGTACAGTTCTATCTAATTTGGGGGGGGGATCCCCAGACATCTATCAGCGCGATTGTTTCGCTGACAGTCCAGCGAGCAGTAACTAAAATTAAGTGAACCGCGCAGTATAGAACGGGAAATCTCCCATTTGCCCTGCTCCCGAGAGGTAAGAAACATTCAACCAAGTTCTACCTCCAATTCGGCGAGGCAGTTTAATGCTTGTCCCATGTGAACGGGGCACGTTGGAAGAACCGGTTTTCGCTACCGGTCGAATCTGCTCTTGTGAACGGGGCTAAACAAACCAAAAAAAAAAAAAAACTGATATTTTTGTGACGGTATAAAATGTAAATAATTAGTTTGAAAGTAACTCATAAATATTTTAATAATTATAAATATTTACTTTTTACATATTATAGTATTATCGTTTTTGGCAACAGCTTTTATCTTTGTAATGCAATTTGTTAAAAATAACAGAAGATGAGTTTTTGACTACTGAGTTGGTGAATAAAATTATATTTGATGTTGCTATGGTAATCTTTTTATTAGTCCAAAGGGATTTGAATCCCGAAGACTATTAGTTTCGTTTTGGCATTTTGCGTCGGACTCATACTCTCAAGTGATCACAATCCTGTTAGGATTATTCTGGACCTCAGCAGATATACTACATCAGACACCAGGGCCTTTCGTACAGACTGGCAGGTCTTTGCCAAAGCCCTCTCCAACACCCAGTACACTTTACCCACGATACACAAGGGGAGTGACATTGATAGTTTGGTCAAGGACCTCTGCGAAAGCACAAGTTAAACCTGGTATGAAACACAAGCCTCAAGAGCTCAGATTATTGATTAAAGAGAGAAATGCTGCAAGACGAGCGTATCAACGTACCAGACACCGTGATGATAAAAGGAACTTCAATCGCCTGTGCGAAGCGGTCAAATTTCTTACAAATAAACTCTCACAAAATCGCTGGACTAACCACCTCAGATCTCTTTCTGCAGAGGATAACTCCTTATGGAAAGCAATGAAGAGGTACAAAAAATGCTATAACGCCATTCCGCCCCTTCACGGCCCTCAACGGATCCATTACACCGGAACTGAGAAAGCAGAACTTTTAGCTCAGCATCTGGAATCTCAGTTCTGCATTAACAACATTTCAGACTCAGACACTGAACAGCTTATTGCTGACTTCCACTCCAATTTTACCACACAGCCATGCACAGACAACATTATATCAGCCATGCCATCGGAGGTCTGTCTCTATATCATGCGAATTGCGAAAAGGAAGAGCCCTGGAGTAGACGGGGTCACAAATGAGATGATCAAGCACTTCCCTGTCAAGATAATACTCTACTTCACCAAGTTAGTGAATATCATACTACGATGGCAGTACTTCCCAACTTATTGGAAAACTGCTAAGATTGTCCCTCTGCTAAGCCCAACAAGCCCTGCGACTGCTCCTGAGAGTTACCGACCAATCAGTTTGCTAAGCTCAATTAGCAAAATCGTGGAAGCAGTTATTCTACATAGACTAAACATCTTCCTGGATGAGCAGAAGATCCTCATACCCTATCAGTTGGGTTCAGGCGTAAGCACTCGACAACGCATCAACTCTACAGAGTTGTTGAATTAATAAGCAGTGGGATGCAACAAACATCGTGTCACTGGTGGACTTTTCTTAGATGTCGCCAAAGCCTTCGATAGAGTATGGCTGGATGCCCTCATATACAAATTACACAACCTGGGACTCCCAGGCTACATCACAAACATAATTAAATCCTACCTAACCGGTAGACACTTTGTCGTTCATGTTTCTGGTTCATTATCCACAAACCGGCATATACGGGCTGATGTTCCACAGGGATCCCTTCTGGGCCCTACCCTATTCAATATTTACGTGAACGACATCCCCACTACACACAACACAACACTAGCTATGTATGCAGACGACACAGCGATCCTAACTCAAAGTGCATTTGTTAGCTCAGCAATACAACAGCTACAACACCACATCCATTCGCTAGAGACTTGGCTGACCAAATGGAAAGTCAAAGTGAATGTCGACAAGACACATGCCATACTGTTTACTACTAAGAAGAATTTCCCGATTCACCTGCAAATGTATGGTGTGGACATTCCCTGGGTCAAGCAGGTCCCTTATCTTGGGGTGATCCTCAGTAAATCTCTTACATGGAACCCACACGTTACACATATTCTCAGGAAGTTTCGAGCTAGTAAAGCTTCACTCTTCCCCTTAATTGCTCGAAACAGTATTCTATCTATTGATAATAAGTTGCTCATTTACAAAACCATGTTGCGTCCAATTCTTAGTTATGCATGCCCTGTCTGGGCATACTCGTGCAAAAGTTTGAGAAGGCAGTTACAAGCTGCCCAAAACGGGGTATTGCGTATGATATGTAATGCCCCCTGGTACATTCGGAATAGCCAAATTCGTAAAGAGTTAAGAATAGAGGATCTTTGTGATTTTATTGCCGCCTATCTAGGTCATTTTATGATAAACAGGAACTTCTGGACAATCCTGTGGTTGTTAACTCTTGTTATGATACTAGGGACCCCAATTTCAGGTAAACGCCCAAGGGCGATCCTAAATGTTAGTAATGTAAGTAATTTTGTATATGTGTTATGCAAATTGTTGCTCAGATTCTTTATTGTATATTGTTCTTTTTTCCTCCTGATTGCTTTTTGTTTTTACTAGTGGCACTAAGGCGTCGCACTTCGTATTTGTTTCTCTTGTGTGTACATGTATTCTTCTGTGAAATAGTTGTTAAAAAAATAGTTAATTATGTATGGATTAGTAATTAGGTACTTAAGGAAAAAAATTTGTATTTAACTATTAGCAATTATGAATTTAAACTCTTGCTCATTTAATTATTTAGCACATTCAGTTATATTTCTCATAATTCGAAACTTTTATCATGTTATTCGATGAGAGGTAGGGCTATGGCACTCAGGCACCCTGGTGGTTAAGCACCGCAGTTCAACAGTTCATCATAAATGTCTGTTCACTTTTCAAACTGTTGCCACAAAATGTTAGAGTCCTGCATTATATTTGAAGAAATTAAATAATGAAAAATCTGCATAAATGTATGTATATTTCTCGTATTGTGATAAAACAACGGTACATAGAGTCATCGAATTTTGAATAACGTAATCCTCCAACGAATATGAGCATGTGGAAGACCAAATTTGAAATTTGAAATTTGTTTTATGATCGATTTCCTATTTTTTAAAACTTTGACGAATTTTTGATTAACAAACTCAAGGATTTCAAAGCGAGCAATGGCAACGTTGTGCAGAAAAAAAAACATTTTTATCTCCAGCGCGTGAGTCTCTGTATCGGAAATTCTAAAGATATGCTCGTTTTAAAACTATTTTGCGATATTGCTGTTGCACTGGATCTTATGGTTTAAGTGCGAGGAACATGATATTTAATAAAGAAAGGTAACACACAAAATGTTAAAAAACGCCCCTTTGGACGTAATTTAAAATCTGAAACATTTCAGATTTTGTTTTTATCATTTTTATTTATTTTTTTGGAGTTCAGTGGAATAGTAAAATTTTGTCTGCCTCCTATTACTTTGTATCAACTGAGGATTCATAACAGGTGTACTTATATTCGGTGACCCGACAGCGTTCGACTTGTTTGTTTAACATTACTACGCAAAGCGTAACAGAAGCAACTACTTTTATAGGTGGCGAAGCGAATAAGTAAGTATTAAAATTCCACCATTTTAGTGTGAAAACCCGACATTTGGTTCTTGCAAGTGGAAGCCCAATTTCAAATAAATAAAATCACAACTGAAGAGACTAGATTCAATTATTTGATATTCCAGCTTTTTCAAGTATGTTGAAAATATATGGAACAGTATGAAAACCACTAAGCCTAATAAATATTCTATGGCGAAAGAAAGACTTTTAAATGTTTTCAAAGAAAGTGAAAATAAGCGAATTCAGCGTTTGGTTATTGGATTAGACCTCGGAGATAATAAAATAAGTCATCTTTTGCAGCAAATGAAAAGTCTATCCACAGACGATTTTCCGGAAAGAGTGCTAAAATCTTTATGGTTGGATAAAATACCCGATTTTATAAAGAATTATTCTTCTCTTCAGTGAAGAAAATTTAGAGAAATTGGTCACGATGGCAGAAAAATTCATGAGATAAAATCTGGGAAAGAAATTTACTCTGCTTCGCCAAACGTTAATGATGCTCTATTTGCAAGAATAGCTGCGTTAGAACAAAAAATTGATTCAATGCAAATAACTAACCAAGATTCTAGACCTAGATTCTAACGTTCTAGACCAAGGTTTAGATATCATCGGAATAAATCTCGAAGTCATAGCCGTTCGAGAAAGAGATTTAATAGGAAAGAAAAAAAAAATATTTTCTTAAATTTTAAATTTAATTATCGCTGTGCACCTGAGAAATGTTATTCGCCATGAGCTTGCCGAGAAAGTTGTAAAACTCCATAGCGCAACAGGATTAACGTCTACTACTGCTTCTGTTATCAACGACAGCCGCAAATTTCGTTGTGAAGGACAAAAACACAGGACTGCGTTTAATAGTAGATTCAGGTGCTGATGTTAGTCTCATTCCTGCGACTAATCGTAATACAAATGTAGATGATTTTGAATTATATGCAGCGAATGGAACGGCAATTCCTACTTATGGAAGAATTAAAATTTTAACTTTAAATTTAGGACTTGGAACAGAATTCCAGTTTCCTTTTCTATAAGCTACTAAAGCTGATAATGCTATTAAAGGAGCTGATTTTTTTATATAAATTTAAACTTTTAGTTGACACTCATAATAAACAATTGATGGAATAATTAACCTATAACCTGTTGAAGTAATAATATAAGACCATTGATTTTTGATCATGGTAATAGTACTCTAAATAAAAATCCTAAATGTGCTAATTTGTTACAACAATATCCAGATTTAGCAAAACCGAATTTATCAGTATCAACATTTAAGCATGGTGTTGAGCATTATATTACTACTAGAGAACAATCTGTTTATACCAGCGCTAGACAATTTGATCCCAAACGATTACAAATAGCAAACCAGGAATTTCAATATAGTATGCTTGAAACTCATATTATTCGTCCTTCTAAATCACATTGGGCCAGTCCTTTTCATATGTTTCCGAAAAAAGTTGGTTCTTTCCGACCATGCGGAGATTATTGACGTTTGAACGCACAAATAATGCCATATTGTTATTCTATGCCCCGATTACAAGATTTCAACCACATTTTAAAGAATAATCGAATATTTTCTAAAACTGATTTACATAAAGCATATTTTCAGATTCCTATTAATTAAAATGATAAGCCAGAAACTGCCTAATTATAACCCCTTTCCGGCTAAATGAATTTAACGTCATGAGTTTTGGGTTGCGTAGCGCATCTTCTACTTTTTTTAGAAATTTATTAATGAGATATTTAGAGGATTAAATTTTGTTTTTCTATATTTGGATGATGTTTTGATTGCGTCAAATAATGAAGAGGAACACCCATTTAAATAATGAAGAGGAAAAGCATTTAAATTTTGTTTTTGATAGATTGCAAAAATATGGATTGAGACTTAATATTTCTAAATCTGTTTTTGGAGTTAATGAATTGGAATTTTTAGGCTGTCTAATTACATCTGAGGGATCAAAACCTCTTCCTGACAAGGTTAAAGCTATTCTTAATATTAAATTGCTACTGTTATCAACTACGAGCATTTCTCGGAATGGTTAATTTATACAAGCATTTTTTGAAAAACGACGCATGAGAACAAGCTATAACAAATGTTGCTCTTCTCTCTCACCGAAACCCTCCTTTTTCGTTGTGCACAGATCCTTCGGATTTGGCATTCGGTTCACTTTTACAACAATTTGAAAATGGTAGTTGGAAACCAATCGGATTTTTTTTCCCAACAAACTTAACGTTACACAGCAAAATTGCAGTACATATGATCGCGAACTTCTCGCAATTTATATTTCCATTAAATATTTCAAACATTTCTTAGAAGGACGAAAATTCATATGTCCGCAAACCCTTAATTTTCCCAATTACCCCACTGTACAAATACTGTTGTAAAATTGAAACAGTAGTCTACACGAAGTACTACTTAATCATTTGATGGCCATGATTGCACAAGCGGAAATGCGTGGCCAAATTGAATGCGTGTGATCTCTCCATAATTATAAAATAAAATAGCAATAAATGTGTCGGCGAGGAGGTTAATCGATGATGTAAGATCAACACTAACAGATAGTCTTTAGTTAGGGATTAGTTAATACATATATACTAAATTATTTTTACCCTTTCTATTGGACTGTATAAGAATTATTTCATTTCTTCCTTTATAATATGTAATGATAATTTTTCTCTTTTAGTTATGCTGGTCTGCATTGCGTAGTCATCAAAGGCTATTCCAAGAGTGCGGGTTACCAGCCAGGTGTGAAATTTGAAGACAGTCGTTTCAGAAATTCTTGGAATGCGGTGTATGTTGCAGGCGCATGGCGATTCGTCCAGTGCAACTGGGGCGCTAGGCATTTAGTCAACGCGAAAGAAGTGCCAAAACCTGGCAGCAGAGGCAAATCGGATAGTCTTCGGTACGAATATGATGACCATTATTTCTTGACAGATCCTAAAGAATTTATTTACGAGTTCTTCCCATTGCAGCCAGAATGGCAACTACTGAAAGTGCCCATTTCACTAGCAGAATTCGAAGAATTACCATTCGTCCGATCTCTTTTCTTCAGGTGAGTATGTTTCAATGTGATAAAATGTATATCAAAAAGTAGAATTCTTATGTGGCTGTAAAGGATTTCGTACTTTGAAATTTGCATTAACATTTAATCATCGTGGTTAAAATTCAACATATCTTTTCAGACTGCTGCTTTCCACTACACAATCAAATCTGATTAACGTAATTTTCCCCCTTTCCTAATGACAAAGTCATCTGAAAACTTTTCTTTAGACTAAAGATACAAATAAAATACAGTAGACGCTGTTTAATGTGATTGCGCTTATTATTATCATTTCGGATATTGTTATCGAATTGCTTAAGTCCCGCCTTTGTGTACGAAAATATGGAAACTATATCGCTTATCGTGGTCAACAACTCGGTTAACACGATGAAAATATTTTTTTAACTGAAATAAAGTCGCCGAATAAAGTCAAAATATGTTATAGAAACCGGCAAGTCTCAGAGATATGTCACCAAGTAAGGGATTAAACCGCAAAACATTTTGTTTTCGATTTTAATCAACCATTTAAAAGTAAGCCAAAAAGAAAAAAAGAAAAAAAAAAAAAGGCAAACTATTGAATTATTCTATCGATTTTGAGGGCGGGTCTTCTTCAGGACCAAACAAAGTTTCTGCAGAATAGTTTTTCTCCTTTTCCTAGCTCCTGAAGTAAAATCCAAGTAAACACCTACTAAGGTAGGTTTATTTTTTGCTTCATTTTTAATTTTACATTGGCATGCTCTCTTTTACTGAGGGATACCCTCCAGATTATCAGTTCAACATGAACCAAATAATTTCCAGACACCGCATGTACTGTTCATAAACGAACTTTTGCATTAAACACATTGAGAACACTTCATGAAACAAATTTTTGCCTTTTCATAATTAAAATGCTGAGAAAAGCAACTCTGTTTCTAGGCTAGTTATATTTATATTAAATTCCTTTGCTATTTTGAAGACACTTTTTCTGATCGCTTAATGTTATCAAAATAATCGTGGAGAACATGATCACATTAAGCGGCGCGTACTGTATAGCATATAAACATACAAATAGAATTCAGTAGCAGAAGCGTAATTTAGACAGAAAAAGCTTAAAATGCTAATTAGAACGTTTCATATGATCTCGAGTTTCCCAGTAGCGTTTAAATATATAATTCTTTGATAGAGTAGGACAAAGAAGACACCACTGAATATAGCTGAAGAAGTTTTATCGGGATGGCTTTATGGAGTTTTCATAGAATCTACCATATGTAACGCAAATTTGCAAGGTAGTTTTTCTTAGAATAGTCTCCGTCCAACAGACTTAATCACCAATTGGAAATAATTATCTGAAAGTGTTCCAGAGAGATGCTTAGAACAGAAGTCAGCAAACCATCGCCCGTCGCCTGTTTTAATCTGGCCCACAGCTTAATATTATGTTTTGCCTGAAAAATGTTTAAGTAAATCAAATTACGCGCTTTAACTCAACTGTCAATATTCGAATTGAGAAGTTACTAATAATAACCGCATGTGGCTCTGTTGGCGTCGTATATTCCCATTTAGTTGTTTGTCGTTGCCGTAGAACAGGTTTTGCCATTTTCGTCGATTTTGCTTTAGCGGGGAACGTGTTAGTGACTGTGCTGTTTGTCGATTTTATTTATTATCTGGCGTTGTCATACCATTTTCGAAAACAGAAAACGGGATTTCAAATGCCGTGCTTTTAAAGCAGAATAGTGTGTGAATTATTTTGTCATAGAATTATGAAAAAGTATTATGTTTATCATGTAATAACACAATAGTTATTATAGTCAATTAAAAGATAAGGTAAAGATTTTCAAGTGGTTTTCGTAGGCTATTAATGTGTCGATAGACATTACTGATACTGCTTAGTTGTTGCTATTTATTCAAGGAGTCAATACTGTGTTTGAGGTGACTGAAGAATTAATTAACTTCGTGAACTGCATAGAACAGCAACAAGCGAAGATATTTTTAAGGAAGTCGAACAAAAACGGTAACACTGTACAGTTTATGATGTAATCAGCTAAACTGTGACGAAACTGATGATGGTAAAAATACATATGGACAGTACAGGATTTACGTATAAGCTACGCAAACTATAGCTTAGTGCCCCCTCGCTTTCTTCAGGGCCTCCCAAAAACCCTCTAGGTATCCGAAAATCATATTTGGCACTGACATATAATATCTGGACTTGTAAAGGGTCAGATATATCAAATAGCTTAGGGCCGTATCAAGTCTAAATCCGGCCTTGCATATGGTACAGAGAAAGGATTAGTTGGAGAAATTTTTAAGGCTCGTGGAGAAGCTAAATGTCCGAAACTTCTGATAATTCATTATATTATTCATCAGCAAACTGTTTGTAGAAAACACTTCAATATGTCGTGTGTTATTGAACCATTGTGTCAGCGTTTAATTTTATTCTCTCGCGCGGACTTAACCATCGTCAGTTTAGTGATTTTTTACTAGAGATATAAACAGAATATCCAGACTCTACCAGATATACAGCAGTTTAATGAGTCAGGAATGGAAAATTTTTAAGATTTTTTCCAACTTGGAGAAATAATATTTTTATAAATTAGAAAACTGCCCATAGATACTATTATCGGAAAATGAATGGCTGTGGAAAATAGCATTTGTTTAGACATCGTAGGATATTTTAACAAATTTAAAATTACAGTGGAAAAGTATGCTCGTACGTGAAACGTATTGTAAGTCGTATTGCCGAAAATTTATATTGTTTGAAACATAAATCGCACTAAAAATGCTTGATCATTTTTTCATACTGTAAAAAAATTCAAATATTATCGACATCTCGATTCCCAAGAAGATAGTTCAGAAAATATAACCGCCGGGGATATCTTCTGAACTTAAATTACAGTTACAACAGCATTTTTCGGATCTTGATGCAACTGCAAAAGGATACACGCGGATTTATATCTGTATTTCAGTGTATTTACCGCTGTGAAAGAATATTTTCTGACATGAAATGTGTAAAGTCGCAGTACAGACTGATATTACGTTATTAACATATGACCTTGTGCAAACAACGTTAATGATAGGAAGTACTAATGTCGAATATCTGTATGATGAAATATTATCTATTTAAAAAAAATGCATTCATCGCATTAGTACAAAATTGAACTTTTCTGTAATACGTTTATTGATAAATAGAAATGTTTTATTCTTTTTCTTGTAAATGTCAGTAAAATATGTATAAATATTTTGTAAAAATATGACTATCTTCAAATATTTTAAAACTTTTTTTTTTTGGGGGGGGGAGAAGGCCGCTCAGCATGAAAGTTTTACAGTCTGTCCTTTTCACAAAATGTTTGCCCACCCTTGGTTTAGAAAATTACAGAAAAAGATTCAGGCTATTGAATTCAAACAACAATTTTCGATTTATGTTTATTTTCATGTTGTTTATTCTTTTTCTTGTAAATGCCAGTAAAATATGTATAAATATTTTGTAAAAATATGACTATCTTCAAATATTTTAAAACTTTTTTTTGGGGGGGGGAGGAGGAGGCCGCTCAGCATGAAAGTTTTACAGTCTGTCCTTTTCACAAAATGTTTGCCCACCCTTGGTTTAGAAAATTACAGAAAAAGATTCAGGCTATTGAATTCAAACAACAATTTTCGATTTATATTTATTTTCATGTTGTTCTCTTTATAGATATGGCCTTTACTTTCCTGACGAAGAAACAAAAGCTGTGCTCAATACAGACAACACTGGAGCGGCTACTGTTCGCATTTCAATGCCATCCCGCATGTCCTCCAGCTTGATCTTCCATTATAATCTCAAATTCTATGATACAGACGTAGACACCTACGAAGCTGTCAGTCTGAAACGATTTGTCATGCAATCTGTAGTCGGAAACGTCGTGGCTTTCAGAGTCCATGCACCCTGTAGTGGTTCCTTGCTTCTGGATATCTTTGCGAATGCTGTTACTCCGAGGGAATATCTCACCGGCGAGCCCATGAAATTCAAAAGCGTTTGTAAGTTCAAAATTGTGTGTGAGGATCTGCAAACGGTGATGGTGCCTCTACCCGACTGTGCAAGTGGGGAATGGGGACCCATGAAAGCAACGCGATTATTTGGCCTCATACCGATTACCCACGAGGATGCCCTCATCTTTGCCCCCAGAGAATTGGAGATCCAGTTCAGAATGTCTAGACCTTTGACTGACTTTATGGCAACTCTGCATAAAAATGGTGTTGAAGAGAAAAGACTGTCCAAGAATGTGACACAATCTGTCGAAGGAGATTTAGTTACTTTTTACTTAAATTTTACCGAAGATGGGCAATATGGAATGGATATATATACAAGGGAAATGAATGGTGATATAGACAATGGAGATAAGCATCTCCTTACACATTGTTGTAAATATTTGATCAATGTGTATTCTAATAAATCATACTAAAAATTTCAATGGATTTTCTTCTCAAGTTGGAATTTTGGAGCATTTGTGTCTGCACTGCTTTTGCTGAGCTAATGTTTTAACTGATTAGCATTAATCAAAGCTCATTCTGTATCAGATCATCACGCACTAGGAGATATTTTCATTTGAAAAAGCAATCGTAAATCGTTTTATCATTCCACAGGGGAAAAATGCTTGCCTTCGGGCAACTTTTCATGTTTGAAAAGTCGAATGATTTGTAGGAAAGGAAAATAGCAAAGGCTATGAATTAATTACCAGGGCTGTTCGGAAAGTAAGTTCCGAACGTTCAGTTTACTGTGTGAAACGTAGACAGATGTGAGGAAAGATGCATATTTAATAACGATTTACAAACTTACACGTCTTTTCGATGTAGTCACTCAGCACATTAAGGCATTTATCTTATCGAGAGACTAGGTTTTGTATGCCATCATCACAGAAGGGGGCCACACATGAATTTTGCCAGGATATTACGGCATCTTTCACTTCTGGATGGTCATTAAAACGTTGGCCACTCAAGAATTACTTCAAGTGCAAGAACAACACCCATCTTCTAATCATTCCGTCATTCTTAGCTGTATCGCCGTACACCTCACAGACTTACCTATACATTTCGCATATTCCTTGCTTTCAAAAAGCGAATTACGGGACGAATTTGAATTTTCACATTTGGTAGGACCTTCTAGAGTCTTAAACATCTTTAGAGGAAGATTTACACGTTTCAATATTTCCACTACCGTCTTAACAGCATTATGGCCCCTGGGTAAAATAGTGTGCTGGTGTTCCTCCGTCAACTCAGAAAAATGAAATAATATGGGGCCCATGGGCAAGTGCCCAGTGGGCACATGTATTAAGACTGCCCTGAGTGTTTTAGGATATGAAATTTTCTGTTACGACGCATTCTTAGGCCTTGAAGCCGTGATACCGCATAGGCAGATTTGCGTCATATGGCAGAAATTATTAAATTACTGAACTTACTTTCCGAATAACCCTCGTACTATTAACTTTGAGATATTGTGCAAATGCTATATTTTAAAGTTTGATGTCTGCAATCAGTGGAACTGTTTTCGCAGTGTCAGACGAATTCTTTGCTGTTTGTGTAAATACGACAGAGAAATGTGGAGTACTCTGTAGTCCAAAGGAAGTTTTATCTGAATGAGTCACCGCCACATATAAATGGAGAAACTAATCGCCATTTTACACCAAGAGCAGTTTCTTCCATTAATGCTAGAAGAATATCACCTCAGGAGAAAACAATTTACAATAAGTAATTTTAATATTTTGTTCTGCATACAGTTGGACTAAGAAAGATGCAGTTTAATGCAGCTTTGGACTATTTTCTGTTTTTTTAAGTCTGCTAATAAATAAAAAATCTATATCAAGCATGCAGATTCAGAAAAGGGGGGATTTAAAAACTAAAATAAATTGTTTTAAATCAGAACCGTTACATTACAAAACAAAAACTTATATTCAAATTATATAAATAGCAGATGACAAACATACTATAGAATTTCAATATTTTTCAGAATTATTACACCATTTTAAGTGATTTGAGCTGAATTATTTAAAACTAATGTGAAAAGTATTTATTTTAGCTATGTAACATCGAAGTTGGAAACATTGTTTTATTGAGATTATATCTAATATTATAGTCATATTTCAATGCTTATAGATTAGTAAAACAAATTTCCAATAGTGATCGTTAATTAGGCATGATATTTCAATGGGATGGAATGAAATATTAAGAACATTTTAATCAACTAATCGCTTGCACTTCCGCATAAGTAGTTATCATAAAAAGAGAAAAAATATATGACTTTTAATGAGTCCATTTAGTACAATTTTCATGAAAATATTTAATATTTCTAATTTAACATCTCGTGATTTAAGTGCATTTTAATATAAATCAATCGGTTTAAAAAGCAGAAAAAACCTTAAGAGCTTTGTTTATTGCTTTTAAATGGCTTAATTTCTTAATCAGTAACATACAAATTAAATTTGAAAGAGGCTTTACTTTTAATGGCAACAGGCTGGGCATGGAAGATAAAAGTATTTTATCTCCAGAAATAACAACACAGCTTTTAAATTGCTTTTAAACAGCAAAATTTGTTGATTAAAGTTGATAGACTTTATATTTTGCCTAATGGCAACAGTCCAGCGCTGAGATAAAAATGTTCTTTTTCGAAGAGTGTCGCCAGTGCTCGCTTTTAGTTTATTAATTAAAAATTAATTAAATTTGCACAAATATGAAATTAATTGAAAACTAATTCGAAATTCAAAATTCTCTCTTCAAGGCTTGGGTGGAGGTCTTCCTGTATTTAGAATACAATAGCCTTAATGCCTTCATTTTTCTAATACAGTGCGAGGAACATAACATGCATACAGGTTCTTCATTATTTAATAAAACAGACATATATTTATTGCTACCTTTTATCAATAAAATAAAATTTGTCAGTCATCTCAAATTGTTTGCTTTATTCTGAAAATTATGAATGTTAGAAAATTAAACAAATTTGATAAAGATTAGTGAAAATGTAGACAAGTTCGAGTATTAAATATTTTAAAATCTTATTTTATTCTTCCCTCCCTCGGTTCTCCCCCCCCTTTACACTACAGAAAAATCTAAATTACTGTATTTTCATCAAAAAAGTACTGAAGCAATATATTTTCTGAATTTTTATTTATTCATATCTTTATTATTAAGAAATTTTCAATCAAATTTCAATGGTGTAGATAAAATGACCGAATAACAGTGCAGATTAGGCTGGACGAACATTTTAAGATCGGAGAGGAACTATTTGGACAGTTTTTCATAATAATCTGTATATGTGATGATTATTTTCTGGAAAGACAGATGATCATTTATTTTACATATATTATATAATTGTTCATTAAATTCATCCATTATTCACTGTTTCTATTCACGAAGAAATTTTTTTTTTCTTAGATTATATTCTTAAAATATTTATTCATTTCATTATTTGAGAAATACAAATATTGATCATGTGTTTTAGCTGCAGAAAATAATGTAAGTCATAATTTACTGCTTGTAATTTGCTAAAGTTTCATTAGGTTAATCCGTTATTCTGAAAAATATTAAAGTTAAAAACTAAAGATAACAATTTTTATGTTTAGGAATAAAAATATTCATATATTTCTCTATTTTTTCCCTCATCCAATAATTAGGTCCAGTTGTTATTTGTATTGTGTTATTAAAACATTTAATTTTTAATACACAAAATGTATATTTTATTGTACTTTCTTGTGACTTATACATATGCTTACATGAATGTAATGTCCAAAATTTCTAAGGTTTGGGGACCAATTTACTAATGTATTGTGTATTAAAAAATATCTATAATAAAAGTTTCCCATTCTTATTTTGTCACTTTTATTTCCAAACATCATTCACCATGAAATTCCCATTAAATCTTAGGTAATCATGTAGTGCGCAACTTTGCGCTGCTAAAATTGTTTATTGATCATCGCACGTTCCAGTTCACAAATAGCGTTTTAATGACGACATCAACGAAGTAAAATACTATCAAAAAAGGTTTTTTATACAATAAGCTGTGGCAAAATGGTTCTAAAATAATAAAATTCCACTTCGCTTGTTTTAAATACTACGATGTTTGGCTATAAAGTAATTAAAGAACATAGCTAGAATAGCCTGACATCCTTATTAAACATTTAGAGCTCAATTGCTAAGCTAGTCCTTTCTTTGCCATTCTGCAAAAGATAAATTTAAAGCAACTGTATTAATTTTCAACATTCTGCCCACCTTGCAAAATGGGAATTTTGCAACATTAAAGACGAATTTAGTCTTTCATACCTGTTCTTCGATGGGTGTAGATTCAGCTTTTTGATCATTTTGTTCTATTTGAGAAATCTGGTTGTTTCTACATTACTCCTGAAAGGAAGTTCTAAACTACAAATAAAGTTCACAAGGTTCTAAATTAAAGTTTATAAGTTCAGTTTTTGTGAAGGATGCACTTCTCTATCAAGACGAATTTAATCTTTCATGCCTGATCTTTGATGGGTGTAGATTCAGCTTTTCGATCGTTTTCTACATTACTCCTGAAAGATTACCTCCGAGTTAGCGTTTAGTTCAAGGAAAAAGAGGCGCTAAACTGGCCTAAGTACAACTACAGAGGATATTTTTAGTTTCCGAAGATGCATGATATTATCTTTAACGAGAAGTAGTTGCCTAGTATTCGAGTCAGCATTCAATCTATTCGTTTCTTAACATTTCCGATAAGAACAATGTCATTCACTTTAATCATTCTTTTCTTACCTTTCACTGTGTTTCGAAGAAAGCCTGCATATTCTTTCTTAAAAGAATTTGTATTCGTTGCAAGTGTTTCAATCTTTTATAATAATCCTTACAGAATGAATTTCATCTAAAACCCATACATTGTTTCCAGCTGAGCTTTTTAGAAACCTAAAAGATCAGATAAACGTCAAAGAAAAGATAAACTTCAGATCTTCACCTTCTTCGTACAGGTAATAAGTTAAAGTTTTCACATTCACACAGAAGGGTTTGTTTAGAATAGAACTCTTCATATTCTAAACAAACGTATCGCAGGTTTTTTTTTTCCTTTAAAATTCTTATTAACCTCTTCCAAAATCTGCTCCACTATGAAGCTGAGTTTCCATTTTATTTTCATTAAGGTAAATTTCTTTTCGATATCAGTCCAATCCAGTTGATTCATAGCTCTATTTAAATCTACGAAATTGGAAGTATAAGACCAATTCGACCTCCTCGTAAAATAAAACGTCCGAAAGCATCTATAAAGTTGTTTATGTTCAAGGAAGTAATTAATTCAATGTCAACAGTCCTAAGAACTGCACAAGGGAAAATTACTATCCAAACGTTTAAATTCTCTTTCAAAAAAATTGTGACGGCGAGATCAATTCCTGGCACTCGGAACGTTCTCACCATTTTCATAAAGTTTACCATCAGGTAAACGAAGACTAGGTACTTCTAAGGCCTTAACTGCATGGCTCTGGCATATGATATTTCTTTGACACAATTTTTCTACCATTAGTAATCCAAACTCTTTCTCTCAGAATTATTAGAAGTGTTTGTGTTCCACCATATTTATGCTTTAGGTGTATTTGGTGAATCATTCTTTCTTCAATTTTTCGAAAGTAAGCACTATACGGATTGCTGTAAATCTACAGAATCCAAAACTCGTGATTTCAACCTCATTCCATATTCATCAGCGATGGAGATTTTTTAGATGCCACTTTCTTCTTCAAAAGCATTTCTCTGTATATGAGAAAGTAGTTTTTCTGCTTTCTTAAATTCTTCAACGGATATATTTATCCTGACGATTTTCATTTCTCCAGTTAAGTGGGTGGAAATCTTAACATCCAAGATATAGTTCGTACAATCATAGAATATTTTAAAACCTGGATATAAGTTTCACTAGAATTTTTTTCCATCGCTGAATTCTTCGCCGAAATAAGGTCGAAGTCATTCTCCGTCGATTTCTTCCATATTAGAATCAGGATAATTTGAAGGACAAGTTTCTGGACATTTCTCCTGAAATCCAGGTCCTGTCCACCAAGGAGATTTTAGGAGTTGCAATGGATAGCATCCTCTTAAAAATAAATCATCAGGGTTTGAGATGACTGGTATGTTTCCTATATCCTGCTTTGCTGTAATCTTGAATATCTTTAACTTGGTTTTCTATAAACACATACCAATTACTTCGTTTCTTTAACCATTCCAAAAACACTGAAAATTCTGCCCAGAAATAAGTTTTCATATTTATACTATTGAAACTTTAAACAGCCAAATGATAAAATTTTGCACTCAGAAGTGCTGCCATCAATTCTAACCATGGTAAAGGAATCTGCGGTACGGCAGTCAGAGTCACTAACCACTTTCCCATCTGGGTGGAGGGCCCACCAGCGGCTGAGCGGTAAAGTCGCTGAACACTGGTAGTTCGGTCCGAGGTTCGAATCCCGCGAACGGGCTGGCTGCATGGGTGTTTTCGTGGTTTTCCCCATGTGTAACTTGTACACGAGCCAGTTTCCCTTAGAAAGTCCTCCACGAAGGCATCCCTCCCCTTAGGCAGATAGCCCTCGTGTGCTTTGCCATAACTCAACACACCACCACCACCACCCATCTGGGTGGCTCTCCTTCAAGGGTTCAAGAACAGGATTTTGCTAACACGAGACTCAAAAAACTATTTAATTTTTTTCTGCTCTTAAAAAATAAAGGTATCATACGCTAGTTTGTTTGCATGACAGGTGATGTGTAAAGTGATTGTAGAATTAATTCAGCAACCATTAAAAAATGTATTTCTGTAGACCATTTGCTGAATTCTTTCTGAATGTCTTCCAGTAGTTCCTTGTCCCATCAAGTCTTCATAATCTTCGGAGAAGGAAGGGCTGGAGAGGAACTGCATGAAAGTAAGATTCTACTTGGCATCTCAATTCATCTGATGGGCAGTACCACTGAAGATCTAAACACATTTTATGGACCTTCATCTAGATCTGCTTTTCCAAGATCTAAAGATTTGAACCCAGCTTGAAAATTCTGTAGCTTCATTGATGTGTTACTTAATTTCTTCATTTTCAGAGACACCAGTAAGACAATTATATATGTAGAATGAACCTTTTAACTTCTTTAACTTGATTCTTGTTGCCTACCAATGTTTAGAATAAAAAAGGAAAAAAAAGGAGGGGCTCTTACTTTTGAGTGAATATGGTATTTGTTTCCATCAAATATCAAGAGTTATTTGGAGGCTTCTATATACAGACAATTTAGTATTTTAAACTTCATCCTTATTATAATGTCCCATCAGTGGCCAAATGCTTAATACTGGGAGTTTGATCCTAGGCAAACTGATTGGCTGAGTGGATGGTCTTCTGGTTTTCCCCAAGATTACTGTACTACAATGTCTGCTCTTCCCAACTAGAAATCTTTGACAGTATCACATCACTAACTCCTACTTTGCTTTTAAAAGCAACTATTTTCTACTCCCTTTGTGTCTTTGTTTCTCCCATATCTATTAAATCAAGTGATATCATTCAACTCAATTGTTAGAAAGAACATAACCTCATTTATCTACTGACTTGGTTTTTCCAATATGTAATATAAATATGAGCCAGTTTCCCTTAAAAAGTCATCCACAAAGATATTCCTCCCTTTAGACAGATAGCCTTTGTGTGCTTTGCCACATTCAAGTAACCCTACCCATAACATACCTAACTTGCATTTCGAGAGTTAGCATACCCAACATTGTCGTCACAATTTAAAAAATATCAAAATTTATGCAAAATAACAATAATAATTTGAATCAAGACTAAAATAAATTTCATAAAAAAATTCCTTTATTTATGACCAGATAAAGGTTACAAAAGTGCTAATTTAGAAGCAACTTCACACAATAAACAACGTAAAATTAACAGATAAAATTCCTTCCATACTGATTTCATTACAGTTAGCTAACTCTGAATTGATTGACTAGTGGAAAAAACAGATTTAGTCTAAAAAGGGCTAAATTTCTTTACTGAGGGACAAAGAAATAACAATTATCACAAATTATTTAATGTAAATTAAAACACCTAAAAAAATTCATTAGTTAATAACATACGAGTCTATTCATATCATAACACTATGTAATTTAATTGTATGTAATCTGTCATATATAAACATTTTTTAAATTATTGATTAAAAATAAATTAATCATGAAACTAAATCAAGAGTACAGCTGTTTATCTTCTATTGAAGTATAAGAGTGATGGTAACAAAAACAATGTTCATTTGATCTGTGTTCTAAATACTGATTTACTCTAAGTAATCAAAGGAATTTATTCTCCACATTAAACTGCTTGAAAATACAGGCAAACTGCTAATAGTATTTTTCTAGAAACTGTAATATGGGTTCATTTTTAAAAAACCTTGAATTAATTGAAATTTTAGATCAACCGATGACATCATTCTTGGTATTACTCTAATCAATTAGTAGATTACCATATTTTGTTGCACATTTCCCCCCTTTTTGTAACTAGTTTTAGCATCCGAAAATCGAGAGCAGAAAATGATGCAAGTCATTATGTTTCTGTAGAATGGAGTTACAGTAAGAACATTACAAATAAAATGTAGTAATAGTTAAACTATTGGTAACTATCCCAACCTTATTCCTTATTTCTTTAATTGAAACCTACATTCCAATAAGAATACATTATAACATTAAAATATCACATTACATTATCATATCACACATAACATTAATAACATAAAATAGCCAACCAACCGGGATAGTGGTTAGCAACGCTGACTATTGTACCGAAGGGTCTGGGTTCAGATCCTAGAGAATGTATGGATGTTTCTAAATGTATATATAATGTCTGTGCGGGATGGGGGCACTCTAAATATCCAATGAACCAAAACTCCTCTTGAGAGGTTGGTGGTAGAGGAAGAGGGATGGAAGCCCCTTGGACACTTCCCCCTGGGGTGCTCTCCTTCAAAACTGGGGGTAGAACTGAGCGAAGTACCTGTATGGTGCTCAAGGCTGTTGCCAATGACAGGCAGAATCTTGTACTCAGGGGAATATTGCCAGCGCGGAATCTTGCCACAATGTATTTCGTGGGTTTTTTCTGATGTTACTTTCAGAGAGGTGAGAGAAGTCACAACAACATTAAAATAGCTAATGGATACTGAGCCAACGTAAAGCCTCAAGCACACCTCACATGATGACTACCATTGTCAAGAGGGACAATACAGGAAGGAAAAAAGGAGAAGTGGTGAACAAAAGATCCGTAATTTGAAAGATTAAACACATCAGCAGCAGATATGGCTACAATGAACTGGAACATAAATAACAGAAGCAAGCTAAAATCACATGTTTGGAAAGTTTATTTAAGTGTAAGAACACTTGCCATCTCCAGGTAACTGAATGAAGAATCTGCACAAAATATGTTTAAAAAAATAAATGTAAATAATAAACGCAGTAAGGGAAAATAAAATGGATGAAATGCAAATACAAACTGAATACACTAAATGAAAATAATGAACACAATAAAACAAAACCCAATCTACCAATAAACTAAGCCTCAGAGGAAAAAACTATGTACAGCAGAGGAAGGGGAAAATTATGAGTATTTTTAAAATTTTCAGAACCCAGCACTAAAAAGCTAGATGGAAAAATATGCAATGAAATATAGTATATTTTTATTATTGTTTTGGAAGCATATTTTTTTCATAAATAAGATATTACAAGAGCTGGGACAAGGATAAAGAAAGAGAATGAGGCACATGACCCATGTAGACAGCTAAGACGGGTGCCAAATTTGTTATACAATTTTAGAAATATATTCCAAAAGTTTAATTATGGTTGTTAACTTTAAATTCTGAAATATCTTGAGAATTACCATTTCAAAATATCTTATTTAAAAAAAAAAAAAAAAAAGCATTCTTTTGAGCATTCATGTTGCTTTTCCTCCCTTTCTGCAACCCTTTTAGCTCTGCCCTTAAATATGGACATAATGCATTGAGTGCTTATTGTACCACATTCTTTGGAAATCAGTTATTCGAATAATTTCCCCCTCTCAATTTTTATACATTAAAATTTGTAAAAGATGAGGTGAAAATACTCGAGTAAATATGGTATCCTGATTGCAACTATAAATACCCACTAATGCTATATTCACACAACATTTTTCTTCAATAATATTTACCACTTAAACCTCTCACTTTTTCAATCAAAACTAATATCACTGACTACTTTAAACATTTATTTATTTATTTTATTTATTTTTTTTTTTACCTCTCTTAATTTCAATCTGAATACAGGCTATAACACCACTTTCATTAGTTTACCAATTTCAATGTGATTTATAAATTTTAGTGACAACTGCTATGACTGGAGCAAATTTCTTAGTATATAACATGGAACAATGCTGCCATCAAAACATGTTTTCCCTCGTCACAGATAAATCACAGAACCACTATCAAAATATTACACTGAGAGATATAATTTAGCAAAGAGTACACAATTACAGTTAACATGAACAAATAGAAATTGAAGGGATCATGAAAAGTCTTGAGTAACTGAAAATTTGATTCAAATTAGGGAAAATTAATTTCAAATTCTACAATTTCATATTCTATAAGACTTATTAAAAATTTCAAATCATTGAAATTCAAATAATCAAAACTGCACTCTGTTTTACCACGCAACTGTAAACAAATGAGACAACTAATATAATTATATCTAAACAACATTTTATAGAATTAATTAAAAAAAAAATCCAGATGCTTTTACTCTTGCACAGATAATGTGTACCCACAGAAATCTTTATAAAACTCATGAATCGAAGAAGTATCAAAGACAAACACAGTAATTAGTATCACTAACCATATAAACTAAAAAAATACACCATTATCCTATAGAAATAAATTAATTTATTTACATTTATCACAGACTGTAATTTATTACATGAGACACAAAATTTAGATAATTCTATTTTTCACTTTCATCACAATTCCAACCATTCTTTCATATAGATACATGTAGAAGGTGAAATTTCTTTCCCAGGGCCACAATCATTAAATACCTGTAAAATAGAAACAAAATTTAAATTATAATTCTTCATCTACAACAAACAAAATATGTTGACTGTAAAAAATTATCTTATTGTAGGTAATTTCACAAGTCGATTACTAAATATATAATTTTAATTAATTGAATGCATAGTATTTTAACTACATACTATTTTCAAATTAAAAAGATGATGCAATTCCATGGTGCCTGCAGACTCACAATTTTAACTAAAAGTAGTTCAATTTCAGTTACATTTCATTAAAAAAAAAAAAAAAGTTTCAGCATAGTCACTAGTACACATATGAAAGCATCAAAAATATAGAGAAATGAAATTATTTAAAAATTAAAAGTTTTTTCCTCCAATTTTAACAAAAGAAAGCATTTTTCTATTTAATTAGAATAATTATAAATATATAAGCATAGTTTAAACTTTCCCAAGTATTTATTAAAAAAGGATACCCACGAAAATGGTAAAAAAAAGTTCACCTCCCAATTTTTTCTCACGAATTTCTAATTAAGTTAGATATTTTAAATGAGCTGTTCATCAAGAAACTGGCACAAGACCTAAATAATACAGAGAGTGTTTATACATTTTTAAAATAATTTTGATGAAGAATTAAAAGAAAGCAAATGTTTTGGAATAAAAATTTCTGGCAACAGCACATTATCTGAAATATGAAATATGTTCTTTTACTTTTAAATTTATTCTTTTGAAATGTTGCATGTGTATTGAAGGATAAGCTTTTGCGCTTTCAGAAGAGAAATATTCCTATACCATAATTCAAAAAAGTTGGAAAATGCATTGTATTAGGATTTCTAAGTGCAAAATAAGCAACGTTATGAATTCAAAATGGAAAAAAACCATCAATCATTACTTCCACATGGTAAGCAGACTCCAAATGAATATCCAGAAAAGGTACGTACTGTTTCTAATGTTTCTAAAGTTTAATAATTTGTAAGAGAAAAATTCGCCAACCAGAAATTAATTGCAAAGCATTTAAATACATCTGTAGCAACAATAAATAAAATAATAAACCAAAATTTACAGCTTTAAGCTAAGAAACATAGCATTCACCAACTTTTGCTGAATCATGTGGCTCAATGCAGAACAATTTCTAGAAGCTTGTATGAAAACTATTTAGCAGAGCATAAATGGAAATACATTGTAACCCTCGATGAAGTCTGGGTTTAACTAAATGGAATGCAACAAAAAAAAAAAAAAAAAAAAAGGGGGGGGGGTCTGTTTAATATTGAAAATGAAGACAAAAATGTCTGCAAACCTGCTTTTGTCAATGCAAAGAAAATTTCAGCAAGGGGTTTATGATTGTCACAAGATTCTCTTACAATGTAAAAATTGTAAGAGACAATAGACAGTAAAAATAAGAAGGGGGGAGATAAAACCAACTCGACACACTATCAAAAAAGAATTTTACATCTGATATTTACACAAGAAATTCCATTTCATTATTTCAATAGTTTGGTTTGGTTTATGTGATTATAGCAAAGCCTCGAGGGCTATCTGCCTGACAGAAGGAATGCTTTCATGAAGGACTAAGGAAACTGGTTCGTATACATGTTATACAGAGGGAAAACACGCATGCAGTCAGCCAATTTGCGAAATTAGAATCTGAGACTGAACTACCAGTGTTCAGCGAATTTACCACTCGGCCACTGGTGGGCCCTTTATTTCAGAGACTTTCAATGAATAAAACTTCATGAAGACAAAGCAATAAGTCACCATTCAAAAAATATCACTGCATTTCTTGAAAAAATGAAGACTGATATAAATATTACTTATATACCTTTTCAGCATTTTTCTACAGTCTCCTGATATTTCATTTGTGGACTACTGTGCATTTGGTGTCTTGAAGACACCTCATTCTGAGCACAAGGCAACCACGATAGACGGTCTCTAGAAAGTAGTACAAGAGGAATAAAAATCTATACCCCTGAAAATTTTATGAAAAGTCCTCTTATGGAAATCATGATGCAGATTTATAACCAAGAAAAAGGTTATGAGATTGAACTTCTTAAAAAAATACTCTTTAAATTTTAAACGACTGGCTCCAAATTCATTCTAAAAGTGTATAAAGACTAGGTATACTCACATTATCTGCAAAATGCTCAACATTTCCTATAACAATCATCTGCTTTGTCAAAACATCATTAAAACAATGATAAATATATTATTCATTCCTCTACATCTTCTAAATATTTTCAACCAGAAGTTAAAAATGCATATTTTTACACAAAAACCAAATATAAATAAAAACAATTATTCATAATCTCACTAGATAATAGCAGTCTACCCAATCAAGAGTGATTATTTATAACATTAGTTAGAATGGCTTAAAATATATTAACTGCAATGCAAACAACAAATAGTCTGGTGAAAATAAACATCATGTGACGTTTTTAAAAATTCCTAATCGAATTGGAACATTCTCAAAGTTAATAAAATTTAGGATAACTTACAATCATTGATAAAAAAAGATTTCAATTCAAAAGAAATTATGAAATTAAATGACATCTTTGCTGGATTGCATTCCACATTTTCTAACAATTTCATAACTTAAATTCAAAATGAATTTTATTTTAATATGACTGAATATAGGGAATTTCAATCAAAATCAGACTAACCTTTCAGTAAAGCAAAGTTCAACACACGAATTCTGAACAAGATGAACACCACAAAACACATTAAAGTGTTTGCTTGCTTAAGGAAAGGAATGCCTTTTTAGAAAATGTTCTAACAAAAATTGAGTACACACAGAGAAAACCATGAAAATACTTAGACAGCTTGTTCATCAGGATCTGATGCCAGGATAAACTATCAGTATTTGACGATCTTACAACTTAGGTGTTGGTAATTATTTTATTTCAGGAGGGGTGTAAATGAAAAAAATCAGCGTAGGCATTGAACAGGAAACACTTTTCACGTGGGGTGAGGGAGGGCAGTTTGTTTTGCATAGGAATTTGACAGAAAATATTTTTATGTGGGGTAGAAGGCTGTTTGTTTTGCAAATTGCCAAAATCAACATAGCCATCCAACAGCAAACATTTTTCATGTGGGGTGAGGAATGGGAGTTTGTTTTATACGCATTTACTGGTTTTCTGATTACAGCACTGAGAGTTATTTATAAATATTTAAAAATTCTTTATAATCTGATAATTTGCTGCTCATCAGCAATTTTACTATTACTTCTAAGTCATATGAAATTTCTCATACTGATGCATTAAAGCCACAGTGAGAACAGCAATTCTGAATCAATATAATGATTAATTTTTCTCCATTCATCAGTAAAAAATTTCCTAGTTTGTAAAATATTAAGAATTAACTAACGTTTAGAAAAATGTGAAGATATCGGTACATACATATTATCATGACCTTTTATTAGAAGTCACCAATCTTTTCTACAGAGTGTGTCACACTCTAGCAACCATGTGCACAGCTATTCTTGAGGCAACCATACTCTTAATAATTCTTCAGTCAAGTAATATTGTTGTATTCAAAATTTGAATGGTTTTATATACAAATCATGGTTTTTTTAAAACTAAATTTTTAAATACGCACTTGTCGAATTTGTTAGCAACGAAAGAAACTGCAGCTAAATTTCAGCAGGAATACAGTATTTTGCTACAAAATTGCTCAAGAAAACAACAGTTTTGAATCTGTTATTAAAGCAATTGGGTGCCTAGCCAGTATAGAGGTTAGTGCTTCAGACTGCCATATCTATGGGCCCTGGTTCGAATACTGGAGAAGGATGTAAACATATAGTGCCTGTGTGGGAAGGAGCACTCAAAATACACGGCAAGCTGGAAGTTCTCTCGTGAAGTTGGTGGTAGGGGAAAGGGGGAGATAGCCTTGGACCACTCTGGTTGTTCTCCTTCAAAATTGGGCTAGAACTGCAAAGTTTGATTTTCTGGTATCCTGCTCACTTCTAATCATATCTGTTTGAGCAATCATCACAAAACTTCCTCCAAAGCAAAGGAAATAACTAGCTTGTAAATAGGTTTTTTTTTTTTTTTCCCTGACCTTTTTGAATAAATATCCAATTAGAATGTAAAATAAATCTTTAATAATATTTATGTAAGTAACAAGTAATGTTTTTGCAACTGAAAAGAATGACAACTTATATCATAATACTTTTCATCTGTAAAAAGTAGCCAAATTACACCAAGATGAATGCATTAGTATGTAAAAAGCAAGATATTTTTTCCAACTGCAATCAAGGATGGGTTGTAAAACTACTCATAAGACCCATCTCTGAGTTACACTGAGGATTTAGTGAATTTCAGGAAAAAATTCTAGACGAAAATTTCTCCATTGAGATGAGAATGATTTCTAAGTGACAAAATCAGTTTTCATTTCTGCTGCAATTCCTCACTCATGTCATATTAGTCAATTTCAGGAAGAAATCCTAGACGAAAATTTCTCCATTGAGATGAGAATGATTTCTAAGTGACAAAATCATTTCTCATTTCTGCTGCAATTCTGCACTCATCTCATATACCATTCCTCAAAAATATTACGTTATGATGCATTTTTGGTGTCTTAAAGTTTAATTGGTAAAATATTCATTGTTAACAGTTGTCTCAAAATACCACAGCTGCTTCACATATTTACAGTAAAAAAACTCTCTCACACACACACACATGGCGATTACAAATTTTTACTAAAGTCAAAAGTCTTTAATCCGGACTCGTCGGGTCTTCGGCAATTCCGGATTATAGATCATCAGTTTAAATCTGGTAAGATGGCATGCAGAAATTATAAAAATTAAAAATATGAAACCGCAATTTATGAAATAAAGAACAATTATGATCTAAAGGGTATCAAAATTTACAAAAAAAAAAGCTTAATACTTATTTGTTTACTTTATTACACATTTCTTTCAATGCGCGCATGCGTAAAGCTTACATTACGCGTAGTCGAAATTGGAAAAAGGCAAACAGAAAACTATTTGATGTGTATTTGTGATATTTATAATGAATTTGATTTAAATCATATAA